TTACCCTGACACATTTGTGTGGTCTAGAATGCATCACCATTTATATAAATAGGGACATGTGTTATAGAGAAAATACATCTCAAAAAAATGTCTCTTCCTTAATTTCTGATTAAGGCAGAAGTGTATTACAACTGCAACAACCCTCTTGTTGAATTCAAACATCGAGATGGCTCCAAATCCTTTGCCCCCTTGAAAGAAACATTGAATAATTTGCTGTCTGATTCCAATAACATATGGGTGACAAAGGTAGAGTTTCGGGAGGATTTGATTGATGCAAATGGAAGGGTGAAATACAACCTAATCGAGGTGAAGAATGACAAAGATGTGAAGGTCACGTGGAAATTATTTCGCCGTAGGATAACTAAAGGTCCGATCGAGTTGGATGCGCAGATCCAAAAATCTGTTGATGACATAATGAAGATGCTGAAATGTCCAGAGTCATCTGGAAGTGCCTAGGTTTTCATGTTTAGTTGTTTTAGACTTATGTTTGTTGTATTATTTTATGTTATGTTCATCATCAATTCGAAATATGTAATCGCCAAAATATTATGCAATAAATAAGAAGTCTGTGTGTCACAACATATACATATAATACAACCAAAATAAAACAAATCTACATAGGCCCTCCACGGGCTACGTCGGCTAATCTAGATAAACCTCTATAGATCTCACCATATGGGTTTACCAAACGCATGAGACTGTAAGCATGAACTGCAATAAACTGGAGGCGGCTGTCCTATTACCAAAACCAGAAATATATACTTCGCCATGCCATATCATATAAGCAACATGGTCCGTAAGTCCTGTCAGCACAGACTTGTCTGAAGGTCCTCAAGGGAAACCTCCATCAGTGTGTACTGATGGCTCTGTAGATGTACGAGTCATGGTGTTTGTATCAACGAGGGACACCTCATCAACTCACTCAGCAACAACCTCGTGCTCAGCCTCCTGCACCACATGCTCCACAATGTGCTCCTCAACTACTGACTCCATAATAGGAATAGGAGTCAGTACCTCCTTAGTAGGAGCCTGTACCTCCTCCTTATGATCATGTACCTCCTCAGCAATGGATACTCTAACACTCTGACAATGGGGTGAGCAGAACTGTGGCTACTGCTCAACCATCTGTTTCCAGTGAGAACCAGTCGGAGGACGACGTCCAACCCGTAGCTCTGAAGCATGCGCCTCGTCAGCCCGAGCTTCAACATCAACTCTATTAGTGGTTTGTCCCACAATAGAACCATTTATGCCTCTGGTCCTCACTGCAAAATAAGATAATATTAAGATAATATAAACTACCGGAAATTTCTAAATTTTTGGTATTTTTCAATTAAAAATTGAACTACTGAAAATTTTAAATTTTCTGGTACTCTATGTCATATCAGAAATTTCAAAATTTCCGATATAAATGGTAAATGAGAATACCAGTTATTTTGAAATTCCTGGTAGAAAATACCATAAATTTCACAAATCTACAGTAAATTCTTACTTGTTCACGAAATTTCCGGTATCGCCTTTGAAATTTTCGGTATCGCCCAAAAATTTGAAAAATTCGGTTGGTCATGTAATTTTGGAATTTGTGGTGAATAATTTGAGTTTGAATAATTTGATCTTTTCATACCATTTGAAGAAGTGTCATGTATAACATGGGGATGACAAGTTAATTTCTTCACTAAAAATAGTAACTTTAAAAAAATCTATTTTATTTTATTTTATTTTTTCTCTTTTGCGAGAGAACACCCCTCACTAACGCAAATTTAATAGTTTGTTGGAAAATACTTACATAAACAATGTGATAACAAATGGATTTAGAAACAATCAATTATAATTTTTTTATTAATTAAAAAATAAAATAAATTTTTATCTCTCCTTCACAGTCATTCCATGATCTCAATTAAAAAATAAATTAAATTTTAAATAAATTTAAAATTTTCTCTTTTTTTATTAGTTGTTCATAAAAATATGAATTTATGTATGTTTTCATATAAGTATTTCTCTAGTTTGTTTGGACTACGCCTCACAAATTTTAAAGTGTGAGAATTTTTCAGAACTTTATTTTTTCTCCTCAATTTTTGTAAGGGGGTGCATCTCGTGCACTTATTTTTATTTTTACTCTTTTGTAAGGATTAATAATTTCATTTTATTTTTATTTTTTATTTTCTGCTTTGCAAAGGTTAACTCTAGTAATATTGCCATATAATTTGTGAGGTGGTTTAACCCAACGCAAAATCTTCTTACTACAGCTCATATTTGTTGTAGTGAAAAAAATGCTAAAATGTGCATTTTTTCTAAATCTCTCGACGAAAATTTCAAAATATCTCACACTTCGGATATGCATATCAGAGTGTACTGTATTTAACAATAATAGGTGTATTCACATGTGCGTATCTGAAGTCATTTAATTTTATCAAAAAGAGTAATTTCGTATGTGCATTTCCGAATTCACTCAAATTTATAATTTCGGAGATGCACATCCGAAGTCACCATGTTGTTTTCAAAACCACGAACATAACATACTCATTTCTATTCAAATACAAAAAAATTACATTTCTACTCCAAACCCTATATTTCTACTATCTAAAGTTGAACAACTCAGTCATTTTCAACCATCTTCCCATTTCAACTCTTTTCAAGTGATTCCAACTCATCTCCCAGGCTCCAACTTTGTGTAAGTTTCTTACATTTTTATTTGATTCAATAAGCAATGTTATAATAGTGTATTAGATTAGTTAGTAGAAATGACATTGTGTAGATTGTTGTTAGAATAGTTTAATGTTGGTGTTTGGGTCACAAAAAAAGGTATTTGAATGATTTAGGGCAAGAAGTTGCTGCTTCTTGATAATGGTTGTTCGCAGGTGACTTCGTATGTGCACATCCGAAATCCCCCTAGACCAGTTTCGAAAGTGCACATGTGAATTCTTGCCTGAGTTGCTTTTTTTAAACCCCTTGATATTAACAATTATAATTAATTTTTCAGGAAGATGACTGACAATCAGGGAACATCCAATCATTTGAGACAAGGCCGACCAAGCCAGACTGCCTCTGCTCGGCAAGAGAGAACTAAGCAGCTGGTTAATAGGCCTCGAGGACGGGGTCAGGTACAAAGGGATGATTTGTCTGGAGCTGCTTCTTCTTCTGCACCAAAGAGTCGTCTGTCTCACGTGTCTATCTCTTGTGCGCATGAGTAGGTACCCGATGATGTACCCGAGGGGGATGACGTACCCGAGAATTTTGAGGTACCCGAGAATGTTAAGGTACCCAAGGAGGTGAACCAGGGCTATCCAGAAGGGCCTTATGACACCTCCTTCTTGATCTACTATAACGATCATACCGCTCGACATGTTTGAGATGGAGAGGTATATTGTTTGTTACATTTTGTCATTTTAAAGTTTTACTCAAAAATATCAATTTAACGGTTATTACTTTTTATTTATTTTAGGAACGGTTACCAATTAAGTTTGTGATCTCCTTTTCAGGCTGCTCCTGACACCATAGTCCGGCGGGATCTTGATGACATCTTCCAAGATTTGGAGAATCATTTGGTGCCATAGGAGTATCGGATGATATCGGCATCCCAGAGTTGACATTATGTAGAGAGTTACGTGACGTGGTTCTTTAACGTGTCATACCTTATCATGACACCAGATGATCTTGGTCGTCTACCTAGGCCAGCTCATGAGGAGCTCTTGGAGAACCAACATGTCGAGGATGACCATGTCACTGATCTTTTGTCGATCTGTCATAGTATACACCTACTTGGGCAGGAGGTATTGGATGCTGGGATTATCGAGATGGGTGGTCCTGAGGCGGTTGCCATTGTTGAGAGGATGGTTAGGGAGGTATCCAGTGCAGCGCAGTATAGGAGGCAGAGGAGGTCACAAGAGATTAGGATTAGGCATACGCAGTAGCAGTAGCCTATGTTATGTATATTTTTTGTTATCGATGTAATATTTTGATATTACGCACTTTCCAAACAACTTGTGTACTAAATTATATTTCCCTAATGTCTGAACATCTAATCTAATTGTTATGTCCGTATTGTTATGTTCTTTCATATTTTCGAAGAAATCATAAATTTTTTGTCTATTTATAAGGTATCTGCATTGATGTAGTTTTAAACAAAAATGACAGAAATAAAGGAAGTTTCAAATATGCATATGCGAAACGTTTGTACAGGTTGTTTCGGAAGTGCATATCTGAAACAACCTCTAAAATTTTGCATCCAACGTTTAAATATCAAAACATGTTTAAAAAAAGTGTCTTCGGATATGCATATCCAATTCATGCTGAGACGTGCGTTCGGATGTGCATATCCGAAGGGTATTTTCGGGTATTCAGTGGTGAAAATCACCACTACTAGATGTAAAGAGAAATTCTTAGAAAATGATCATCTGAAATTACTCCCTCCGTTTCAAAATGACTGTCGTTTTAGCAAATAAATTTTGTTTTAAAATGACTGTCATTTTCACTTTTCAATATAGTAATGGTTACTATTTTTTCAATTGTGCTATTTACTTTTTAGTCTCTACACTACTTTCAATATATTTATAGGGTTAATTTTGTAAAAGTGTAATGTCTTACGACAATATCATTATATTTTTTTAATTTGTGTACAAAAATCTTAAATGACAATTATTTTGAAACGGAAGGAGTAGTTCATAATATGGAATAAAAACTTATTGTGGATCAAAATTATACTCCTTTGATTTTATTTTATGAATCTGAAAAATAAAATAAAAATATATAAAATAAAATCAGAATGAATTATAATATAATTTTGTCATTATTATATAACTAATAACTACTATATATAATTAAACATAAATTTCATTAATGGAAAGAAATCATATTTAACCCAAAATAGAAAGAAAAAATTCATAGCAGTATTATTTAAAAGAAATTACAATTGATTTTTTAACTTCTTTTGTAAAAGTCTTAAAGCTTTTATTTGTAGACATACTTTTTCACAAACACATTGAAAATTGACAAGTTAGATCTCTCTAATCTCCATAGCAACAGCATGTGGATAATTTGGCTCCACACTTACCACCTTTAGGAAAACCCTTTGATATACAAGAATGTCGACAAGCTTCAATATCATTTGGACATGCACCAGAATTAAAGCACTGTAATGTATCAGAATGTTGCAAATCTTGAAATCCTGCTACAATGACATTACAGTTATGATTTAATATTCTGGAGAAATATTGACAGTTTTTCAATGAAAAACATGAATCCCAATTTTATCAAAAAAAAAAAAAAGATGGATCTTAATACTTCAGTTGCATGTATTGTCATTGAATGTAACAAAGTTGAGTTATAAAACTAGTTTATTACCTGCAACCATGAGTGAAGCAATGCACATAATTGCAAAAATAAAAAGGAGGGGATTTAACCGGATTGCCATTCTACTATGAAAGTTTGATATAAATCAACTTGCAATAGGCTACTTAAGATGACTAGAGAAGTTAAATAGTATAGTATAATATTTTTTTAGAAATGGATCTTTGAAATATGATTAACTTTGACTGGAATATGACTTTTTTTATTATTATTACTTTTATAAAATTTGAAAGTAATTATGGTTTTACTCTGTAACAGAAAGAGATGAAGTTCAAATCTCATTAGAATCAGATGTATATTTTCTTTTACATATAGAATCAGATAGAGTATTTAATATCGCTTTCTTTATGATAAAAAGTTTCTCTCTCTTTTAATAAAAATATTGTTTAAATAAATTTTAATCCTTAAAATTATATCATTTTTTTATTTATTTTAGGGCTTATATATTTAAATATTGTCAGAAATAAATAATTATATATATATATTTTTTGTATTAATCAGGAATATCCTTTGCACGTAACTGCAGAGACTAATCTCTTAAATCTGGTAAGACAATATAGACGGATCAGTTCTCATTTAAGAGATTTAATCTTTTTAAAATTTATTCATGTTTTAAAATTTGTCTTTAATTTAAGATTTTTGATATTGTGAAGATCAATTTCATTATAAATATTTTTTAAGAATCAATTATCTAGTCATTAATAGAAGAGCTATCACTTTCTCTAAATTGTATTTCTTTGTCAACTTTTTTACACTTATAAAATGACATTTATTTAATAACATAAAGATAATTTTAATCACATTGCATACTCAATCCTAAGATGCCATGTGGTAACACATTTCCCTCTTTTTTTTCTTCTCTTTCTAAATTTTGAAATTCAAATTATTATTTTTCATTTTTCTAATTCCTATCATATCCCACTTCTCTTTACACATTTATTTTTTATCTCATTTTTACTTACACTTCTCTCTCTTACCTTTCTCTCTTTAATATTTTCACTTTGATTTTAATTTTTTTCTCTATCAATTTTCTCTCCCTTTTTATTTTTCTAAACATAAATGGATTAATAAATTGAATCTTTTATAAATGTCTTTTTGTGAGTGTAAAAAATTTGACAAAGAAGGACAATTCAGAAAAAGTGGTAGCATTTTCTATTAATGACTAGATAGTTGATGGTTGATTGTCTTTATTTGAGACACAAATTTTTTATTTTCAAATCTCAAAATTTCTATTTTTTTCACGAGGCACTGTCAGCAAAATACACATTTTATTTTAATTAACATTATATTTATTTGAGACACAAAATTCTTATTTTCAAATGTCAAAATTTATATTTTTGTCACGGGTCATTATCAACAAAATACCTATTTTATTTTAATTAATAATTGTCTTTATTTGAGACACAAAAGTCTTAATTTCAAATGTCAAAATTTTTATTTTTCTCACGGAGCACTGTCAGCAAAATACATATTTTATTTTAATTAATAGTTGTCTTTATTTAAGACACAAAATTCTTATTTTCAAATGTCAAATTTTCTATTTTTCTCACGGGCTACTATCAACAAAATACCTATTTTATTTTAATTAACAATTGTCTTTATTTGATTAAAAAACTCTTATTTTCAAATATTCAAATTAAATTTATATTATTATTATTATTATTATTATTATTATTATTATTATTATTATTATTATTATTATTATTATTATTCATTTTATAATTAAATAACTCATTTCAAATTTACATGTATATTTAAATAAAATTTATATTATATTAAATAAATTTACCCGTACGGACGCACGAGTATCTTGGTAGTTAATTTTATATTTATAAGACTAAAAAACAAATTTGTTTTGTTTGAAAATTAGAAATGATTGATAAAACAATTAAGTAGATCTTGGAAAAGTGCACTAATCTTCTGGTATGACGGAGTGGGGATGGATCTACAAGATTAGAGCTCCAACATTCAAGTTTGTGAGAGAATAAAAAGAATGTGAGAATGAGAATAAATTTGAATACCTGAGAATGACGAGTTTTCTCTAATATATTGTGGAATCGAAAAGAACCGTCTGCGAGGTACGAGACATGTTATGCAAATAACTGCCTGATTGATCTGGATACTGGAAAATGCATCTAGAGGGAGGAATCACTTGTCTCTAGTGAGAGTGAAAGTTCACATGTTCCACGAAATGGGCTTATAGCCATGAACCTTGTGAGCAAGCCAAAATAGTTGTCTCACAAGCCCTTGTCTTTGCTCTGTAGGATAATGACTTTGTCGTGCACGCTCATAGACCAACTACTAGCCGAAGTAGGCGAAGTGTTCTTATGTCGTGTTACTATCATGGGGAACAAGAGAAATAAATGCTTTATCATGATGGTGTTAGCTGAGAATTTCGACGACATGTGATTTTAAGGAAAATAAAGAAATCGAAAGAAGTCTAGCTTTGGAAGAGAAATATGAGAATATTTCATATGGTCTTCGACTTACCAAACTATTGATAATTTGGTTATGTTAAATAAATTACAAAGGTTCTACTATTGAAAAATGGATGGGACTTAAGTTATGTGAAGATTTGAATTTGAATCGTTTCGACATGTCATGTTGTTTTGCCGCTTCGAATTGAATAAAGATTTGAATTCAAATGGTTTGATCTTATTCAAAAGGATGCATGGAAGCCTGATGATTGTAAGAAGTATGCAAGACTCGAACGTGACACTTTTGTTGAGAAAGACTGTTAGGGTCGAAGTAGTATAAATAAGGATCTTTGTATTAGGATTCAGAGTGTTCACTTTTGTAAAAATTACTTATACAAACTTGAAGTATCGTTGTTAAAGAAAATAGTCATTGAGAATATACGTATAGAAAAACCAATTTATATTCAAAGTCATTTACATTTAAATCAATTCTTTTACTTTTCGTTTAAAGTTTCAGTCAAATTCTTTACATTCCAGTTTTACTTAAAAACCTTTTCTACCTTATCTTCAAGCTTTTGTCTTTACTTTTACCTTTGTTACATTTATCTTTTCGATATAGAACAAATATCCAGAACACTAGTAAAACAATTTTAGACATATGTTCTAGGAATAATCTAGTCGATCATGCGAGTAATCAATAAATTATCTTTGTTTTAGAAGACTAGCGGTTGTTTACCAAATTTCACGGTAAACAAATTGACACGCCCAATGAGACCAGTGACTATAAATTTTTTCACAAATTTGTGTGTTGTGTTCTTCGTTTCAATTGTTTAACATTGTTGTATGCTATTAAGGGGTGGAAAATTAGCCAAATCTAGCGAACCAATACCAAAAAGGAAGTACACTAAGAAAATGGTTAACCCACCCAATAACAATGAAGAACAACCACCCCTTCAACAAGGGAAAGTACAGTTGTGTTATCTGCAACCGAATCGATACCTGTTCAAGAAAACACAATAGGAATCTCGACAAATTCTTTTAGCGATCCAATTATATCCCGAGTGCGTTTGCAGGGTTCCCCACCGAACACAAGACCACCATGGACGAACAATTTCAGGAATTTTGTGTCTGGATTCACAATGTCAATAGATGGCCATGAACAAATTTATGGCATGCCAACATCTGTGATGGCTAGCCCAAATAATAGTGCATCCATATTTCTTGACCTAAAAATGTAAACATTTTCGCCACTACAAGGATCAGGATCAGGAGTTAACAACATGGGTCGAAATGTACCACCCTCAGGATCCGTTGTGCAATTACCTAACCTAACAACGAATTCTGCAGCGGCATTTTGACAACAAATGGATGACATCAATCATGAAATGGTTGGCGAAATTCTAGTATTCAGATCATAGATGTCCTAAGATATGTCGAGATACTGATCTCTGAACAACAACACAATGAACAATATAAAATAATGCATAAAGTAAACAACACGCATAATTGCTAACCCAGTTCGGTGTACAACAAAACCTACTCTGAGGGCTACCAAGCCAGGGACGAAAATACACTAAATAGTATCAATTCAAAGCTAAACTTCCTCGTTTACAACTTCTCTTTTAATCACTACCATGTTCTATATTTCTATATAAGACTCACCTAGGTATGAGACCCCTCTCTCACTTCCCTCACAGTCATAACAATGACAAGAACAAAATTCAAACGAGTTAGAAGACAAACTTTAAAAACCCACAATCACTCTATACTTAGAAGCTTAAGAGTGATTGAAAATCAAGAAGGAGACATCCTTCGGTAAACATAATTCACTCTTGCTTAACAGCTTATGAGTGATTCACAATTATAACTCAACTAACAGTCTAACTCAATTAACAAATAATACAAGAGTGTCTCACAACAAAAATAGACGAAGCCCTAAAGACTAATACTTTTACAACTCTGCCTCGTACCTTCTTTAGGTATAGAGTCTTCTTTTTATAACCATTTTTCTGGACTGGATTGGGCTTAAAAAACCGTAGCAAAAATACTGCACAAGGTCTGCAAAATCTTCTCCATTAAAAAAGGTCTTCAATCATAACTTTCCTAAAATGCCTCAACATTTAGAAAACTTGGATAACTTGAATACTAACATATATCTATGATTTCTCAGTCTTGGAAGCCACATAAGATTACTAAATATCCCAAAATATTTAACATATGTAACAAACTAACATAATCTAAATGTCCAGCTGTAATAGTCAGTGTCAGATGATTATGCATAGGACATCTTATTCTATATGTTTTAGAGCATACTTCATAACATGTTGCTACCTAATTTGTTTTACTAAAATTAATGCAAATCATAAAATAGACAATTAACAATCTCCCCCTTTGGAAAATTTTGACTAAAACAAATTAACAAATTACAATTCAGATTTCAACGACAAACTTGAAAAAAAATACAAAAATCAGAAATCCAAGTGATCATACACTCATCAAATATATCTTTCAACTTGAGACATTAACAAGAGAATCAGAGAGTTAGTCTTCAGAAGCTATTAAACACAACAACATGATATTTTAAGTCTGGTTGATGTCAGGACATCATGTTCAACATCTTTTCGCACCAGTCCAAACAACTCCATTA